CCCCCGATGGTTATAGACTTCGCCTCCGCGAATATTTTTTTATTCTTTCAATTTCCCATGTTTTTTCTCTCTCTCCGCTCTTTTCACCCACCGGTGATTAGAAGTTACGCCTCTTCGGGTACCAACAGCGCATCGATTGCTTCGTTACCCGTAATCGCTCGCACGTCTCGTCAATCAGCCAGGATTGGACCTCACGTTCACGATATCTTCAGCGTTAGGTTTATGAAGATCACTTCAGTCTCTTGTCTCGAATTCACTTTTCAGGGGGGAGTCTGTTAACTCGGTGAATGTGCCATCACTCTGGGTACTTAATTTTTCAAACTACATTTATCTTTTTTCTTTGAAATAAAAATAAATATATTTGTCACATGGAAATGTGACTTATCTTGGGCATACTCGACCTGATTAGTTGTCTACTATCTGGTGTAATAAAAAGTTGTGTCAAGGAAGGTGTGATTACTCTCGGTATATTAAGCAAAGAAGACTATGTGTGGGAAAGAGCGGGCTAAAATAGATTCGTAGAGTGAAATTCAATTAAATGGGCGTCATTTTCGAGCTATTCCAAATCCTGCGCAAAGAAAATAAAATTCTGTGCGTTGAAAAAATTCTAAATGGAACATTAATTTAGTAAAAATTTATTCAATTCAAATAATTGAATGACATTGAGTTGAAAGACAATTAAAGAATTTAAACATTTATTTGTTATTCAGAAGTAATGGCTTACTAAAATGTGCCATTACCTGTAAATAATTTCTAAATAATTGGGCTCGAAATATGCTCAATGTTACAATATCATTGGTTTTTTTTTTTATTTTTCATAACTACGAAATGAACAACTTTTATTATCTACTTAGCACTCAATGCACTTTGCCATTACCAATTTTACTTCGTGTGGCCGTTTTTATCTGGATGACCACAATTAATCGTAAATCCTCCCTACGAGATTCGAATTACCTCGAAATTTGACACCACGCTCGGGTAATGTGTAACCAAACGTTTAACTTTTTCTTCTTATTCTCTTGGCCGCTCTCTTCACCCTCTTTTTTTTCACGCCTCAGAGGGCACCGAGGGAGGGCTCGCGGACCCCGTGGATAGTATCGTCGCTCATCGCAGATATATAGTGATGATCGTGATCAACGGTCATTGGGCGCACTCTCGCCGAGTATCTAGAGCCCACTGATTTACCACTTCGAGACCGGCACGAAAATTTAACACTCCACAATGAGCCGCAAAACTCGAAAAGTGCATGTGGGCGTTGAATATTTCACGCTATGATAAGATCCTCAATTATCTTCGGATGCAGAAGATTAAACGATTTTGAAATTCTGAATTATTCACAATAATAACAAATTACGAATGTTGTTGTTTTGAAAGTGAAAATATTGCTTTCAATTTTGGGACAATTTTTCAACTTTTTTTGTGGGAAAGAATAATGCGTGACATTGAAAGTTACAAATAGAGACACTAAGAGGAAAAATTTGAGAAAATTTGACTCGAAATTCAAATAAGAGGACAAACAAGAAACTTTTTATTTCATTTGTTGCAATATTTACAAAATTACTAAGTCTTTCACCAGTCCTCACTATCAATTGTATTCAATGTTCGAAAATCATAAGATGAAACACCTAAAATATGAGTAGAACTACATCATTATCTCCTCAGTAAATAATCCCTTGTAGATAGACTTAATCCTGTAATTACCCTAGTGTTGCATTTTTCATACGGAATGTTCATTTTTCTGTATTCACTCAATAAACTTCCTCAACCATAACTCATCTAGAAATTGACAATCTCATCACATCAACACGATTTACCGATGTCATTCAATAATTTCCCTCGCGGGAAGATTAATGACAGAATTATGGAGAGTGGATTAAATTAATTAATAACAGTTGAAATATGCAAATTTTCTCACACTCATGATACGCCATTTACTTGAGAATATGAAATGGTGGTGAATACTCGTCAAGACTATATTCCTCGCCTTGATCCCGCATTACGAATGCCTCGACCCATCAGCTGAGGAAAAGACGGACGATGATCTCGCCAAAGGGTTTTGCCGCCTCTTCCTTCATTTTTTTTATCTTCTTCATTTCATCCTCTTTTATTACGTTAAGGGCGTGACTGCAGATCGACGCAGGAAGAGGAGAGAAAATTACCGGAGGAAAAACGGATGGGGAAGGAAAGAAAAAATACTGAATGGATCGAGAAAAGATGCGTGCAATCAGTCCAACACATCATTAAGTGAGGTTTATCTGGAATGTCAATGGAAATACATTGGGACTCTCGTAATATCAGCAACTCTCAACGCCCCTAAAACTGCCAAGGTAACGAGTGAATGAACGGCGCTTGCAATTTCAATTGCACATCACATGCATAAAAAACTAGAGAGCAAATTCATTGATACAAAGGAGAAAAAAGAAGAAAATTGAGAAACGATTCGCCTCTTTAATTGATTCAATTACTCATAATGAAATCATTTGCAACCAATGAATCATCAGTACGTTCATTCTCACTTCTCCATGAGCGGATAATACCGATCATTTAATCCCTGTGTCACGACTACAATTTTCCACATTCATTTTGACACGAGATGAATTGAAAACATTACGCAATCGTACAAACATTGTCATACTGTTGTCTCTTCACGACATATCATACCACTTGGGGGTTATTCTGCATAGGCTAGTGCGCGTGTAAAAGCGCACTTGAACGCCACACACGATGGGTTATTATATGCTGGCCTTCTACATTATGTACTCGGCGATACTAAACGGGACAAGGGGTCTCATCGAGTACACGAGTTTGTCCAGTGTCAAGTTTAAACTGCCTTCATCAAACTTATCATCAAATTCCAGAGGATTATTTGAAAATCTTGATGGACAGTAATTTCCAAAATTGAATTGATAAAACACGGTTCCCAGACGTATCCACCTGCATAGAAAAAAATATAAGCCAAAACTTATAAGTGAGATATAGTGATTTTGCCGGAATTATATCTTGAATATATCCGCCTTGTATACCAGGTATATGCTAGGTATACCCGGTGGAGTATATGTACACACATATATCCAACATATATCTCAAATATTGCAGTTTTTGCCAGAAAGTATACCACATATAAGCGGATATAAGTGACATATATTTCTGTATGTATATTTTTTCCATGTGGCCACGTCATTTTGGAAATTAAAAATCCTCAATCTAATCAAGATGTTCTCGAACGAAAAAAATCGTCGTCAGTGAAGAATTTTCATTCGGCGCATTATTAGACTGTAAACAATAAAGAACCTTGAAATATATGATTCCTCTTAAGAATCATGATGTGAGACTTAAAAATAGGAGTAAATTTGATGGCACTATGCCAGAGTGATCAAAGCCCAGTTAAATTATGTTTGTTGAAGTTCTGGGCCATTTTTCGGTCAGTTGCAGGAATTGATGAATGGAGAGAGAAGAAAATAAAACCTCAAGAACTCCTCGATGTAGTTGAGA